CCCCCCCCTCTCTCCTCGCCCTCCTACACCATAGACTCATCACACGCTATTGGGTGTTTTTCTTTGGCAAGACCTTCACCGTCGGGGGTGTGTGTGTGTGTATTGTCCCTCGGAGTCGCGGCGCGCGCGCCATCAGCCCCTACTGCAGGGGTGGCCCCTGGGCATGGTGCGGTTGGTAATGGTGGGGCTGCTGCTGCTGCTGCTGTTGCTGCGTGGGCTGCCGTTGGGCGTGCTGCACCGGGTACGCCTGCTGCTGGGGAGCCGAGTAGGACTGCTGGTGGTGGTGGGGCTGCTGCTGCTGCTGCTGCTGCTGCTGTTGCTGCTGCGAGGCGGCCTGCTGGTACTGGGGCGCCGGCTGGTGGGGGGCACGCTGCTGCATCGGCCCGGGGGGGTGGTAGCCCGCCGGGGCACCGGCACCGGGGGCCGGCGCGCTCGGGTAAACCAGCGCACACTCGGCGATGATCATGGACGGGAGGCGCTTGTCGTCCTCGGCCTGCTGCTCGAAGCTGTAATCGATGCGCGACCCGGACTCGTCGACGGCCTTTTGGATGGCCTCCGCGGTGTCGGTGACGGGGTAGAAAAAGCGCGACATGTAGCCCGAATAGAGGGCCTGCTGGGCGGTCAGGCGTGCGCTGGCCGACCAGCAGAGCAGATTCTCCAGCAGGTGAAGAGCTGGATTGTCGGGGGGTGTTTTTTTTTTCCCCGCCCACCCGCCAAATGACCGTGATCGCGTGAGGACATGCGTTAGGACGGGCAGCGGGGCCGCCGGGACCGGCGCAAGGCCAAGGTGCATCGGGAGGCCGGACAAAGAGCCGAAGAGGGGCAACAGATGCGCACCATCGGGCGTTGCCATGGGGAAGAGGGCATGAAAGGACACGGGGTTGACGGTGGGCAGCTTCTCGATGATGTCCTTAGACTGTGCGGTGTGTCGGGGCGGGGGGAGACAGATGGGGCGAGAGAGCGTCAGACGCGATCAGGGCGAGGGGGGCAGAGGCAGCCAGGACAGCTGGGAGAGAAGGAGCACATACAATGGTGGTGGCAGTGGCCTGGAGATATTCGCTCGATGGCGTGCCGAGGGTGGCCAGGATGAGCTTCACCTGGTGGAGGTCTGAGCCGAGTGCACAGCCGGGAGACGGGTGGGTGTGTGGGTGAGTGTGCGTGCAAATGCGTGGGGGCCAAGGGGCCGCAGAGAGGAGGGGCAGATTGTTCGAAGGGGGAGGGCGAAGCCAGGCGCGCACAATTTTCCCCAGGGAAGAGGGGCTTGCGCAGGAGAAGCTCGCCGAGGATACAGCCGACGGACCACATGTCGACTGGCGAGGCGAAGGGGCGGGCGGGCGGGTGGCCGGAAGAGAGGAGGGCGTCAGGGCGGGCGACGAGTCGGGGGGAGGGCCACGGAGCAAAAGAGGGAGAGCCAGCTCGCAAGGAGCGTCGACGCACTGGCCTCCGTGTAGCCGGAGCTGCCGAGCATGATTTCCGGCGCCCGATACCACCGGGTGGCCACATACTCGGTCAGATAGTCCGGGTCACTGGCCAGCGACAGACCGCGCGAGAGGCCAAAGTCACAGATCTGGTGCGGGGGTGTCAGCCCGGTGGCGTCAGGGGCGAAATGGACATGTGTGTGTGTGTGTGTGTGTGTGTGTGTGTGTGTGGGTGGGTGTGTGGGTGTGTCTGCATGTGTGCGTTTGTGTGAATGGCTAGGTCGCCGGCCGTGCACATACCATCAGGTCACACTGCGAGTTGACCAGGATGTTGCCGGGCTTCAGGTCGCGATGGATGATGCCCATGCGGTGCATGTAGGCCACCCCGCGCAGGAGCTGAATCATGAAGTACTGGATATGCTCGTCGGACAGATCCTGCGGCGAGGCGATCACCCGGGCCAGGTCGCTGGGCATGTAGTTCTGCACGAGGAAAATCTCACTGTCGATTGAGGGCCCGACGCCGGGCGAGGCGGACAGGAGGACCTTGTGGAGCTTGATGATCTGCGGGGCCGCGTGCAGGTGTGCGTGCAGGTGTGCGTGTGTGTGTGTGTGTGTGTGTGTGAGAGAGAGAGGGCGATGGAGGGGGCCGATGCGCCGGCAGCAGGAGCGGGGCGAGGGGGAAGGGGAGCCGGTGCGCACATTCGGATGGCCACTCAGGTGCTTGAGCAGCTTGATCTCGCGCAGGGCCCGGCGGCCGAAGGGCGGGGCAATCAGCGCATGCGAGAGCTTTTTGATGGCCACAAACTCCGAGGTGCTGTTGTCATGGGCGGCGCTATGGCGATTGGGCCGGGGGGATGGGAGAGGGGGGGGGGGGGTTCATAAAAGGGCCGGGGGTTAGCGGCGGAGACAGGGGCGCAGGGAATGCGCGCAGGGATCCGACACCGGGTGAAACGCACTAGACAATGCCGTAGCCCCCTCGCCCGATCTGCTTGATCACGCTGTACTGGCTGGCAAGGAGGGTGCTGTCGGGGAGTTGCGATCGTGGATGCGACATGGCCGGGGTGTCGGTGGGAAAGAGGGCGGCCGGGACCGGGGAAGGGGGGGGGGGAGGCAGGGAGGAGGGGGAGGCGTGTGCGCGGACGTGTGTGTGTGTGTGTGTGTGCGTATGTTGTGGCCGTGCTGCGGGAGGGAGCGGCTGGCGGCCGGGCGCCACTTATATCCAAAGCCGGGGGCGTCAGCCAGCAGGGAAAGGTGAGATATCACCAGCCACCGCGGGGGGCGAGGTGTGGGACGGGCCACGCCCAAGGGGAGAGGAGATGGAGGGG